TTGTTTCGTTCCTTGAATAATAATAATAAATAAATGTCACTATGGGGTTGACTAATTTCTTTTTTGATTTGTTCCTTGAATAATAATAATAATAAATAAAAAAAGCAATTAAGGCCTTTTTCGTATTTTTAATTATAGAAATCTTGAATAATTTTTTATACGACTTCGTCGTTTTCCTATATCTATGGTGTCAATTAATAAATATATAAAAGAAAGTTGGTTATTAGAAAAACAAATATAATTACTAGCAGACATTGTTATCGGAATAAATTTTTTTGAATCTCAATGTAATGAATGACTCTGTGACCATTGGAAACTCATTTTTATGGGATAATTTTAAGACGAAAGAAAAATCACGTCTTTAAATAAGTATTTTTTTTGTTCCGATCAAATAAGGTCATATTAATATTGATTCTGAGATTTGCCATTTTGAAAAAAGCCACAATAAAATAATAAATAAAATATTTTTTGTATTGTAGTCCATCTCGAACAAACAACATGACAAATGATAACCTAATTGTTACTCTAAACTAAATATGAATAGTTGATTCAAATTGCCTTTTATTGTAACAAAACAAAACGTATTTGAATGTGATGAACAAAATCTGAACTCAACACAAAAAGGATTTCGATGTTTTGCGTTGAAGCTGCAGAGCGCCCCAAGAAATTTTTTAACGAATATTGATTTTTTATAATAATAATAAAAAAAGTAATACTTTCAATTTCTGATGGTAATAACAGATCATTGTTGTGCGTGACTACACATTAACCTTCTTGTGGTTAAATAGCTTGGACGGTTTTTATCTCATGATCCATGTGATTTTGACGTTATCAATTAATTGTTGGTTAACTTCTTTAACTATCTATATGTTTTGAGAATTTGGAAAAAAGTATGTATTATTATTATTATTGAACTATCTTTTTCCTTCATGACAAGATTATTTTGCAAGTTAATTTTGAACTGGGAGATAGTCTCCCCACAGTCAGGTGCTGAATAATTTTAAGTTTAATATTAAGGTTTTTCCATAGATGCATGCATATAAACAAACCCTTACGTAACGCATAGACACATGAAATGTTGATCGCCCATACACAGATACAATAATATTTTATTTCTCATGGTCACATGCAACATGTGGCAATTTCTCGACAATTTGTATATACCCCGATTTTCAACCTCGGTCATTAGATTGCGCGTTCGAGTTATGTGCAGATTTCACGCATCAAATATCGGTGATTAAGGTGGTTGATTAGGGAATACATGCGTATGTGTATTAGATGGAAATTTTGAACCGTTTGAAATTCTTTGTGATGGATAAGTTTAAACATGATAACGACCGGAAAAATAAATCACGATTTAATTTGTAAAAAGGAGAATATATTAATTCATGCTTAATGATTGACTTAAGCGCAAATGAACATTTAATCTCGTTCACAAACTTAATAAATTCATGTTTATGCCTTTTTTTTTTGTATTATTTGATCTTATTTAATATAATAAAATTATAATTTCGGATAAGTCAAATATAAGATAAATAGAATCTCAAATTTCTAAGCTAATTATTAAAAATTTCAACACAAAAAAAAAGGAAATAAAGATATTCATATCAACATTGGGTCCACCCTAATCGATCACATTACGGATATTTTAAAACAAGGGAAGAAAGTGGTTGTCGTGTGCCTGGCTCTTTGGAATAAATATTGACATCCTTGTATTTGATGGTTTTATTGCTATACCCATATGCTCTTATATACATGTACATATATCATATCATAATAACATCGAATCAATTAATACTTTCCCAGTTAATTGGACTTGTGTAACTGGACGGGATCTGTGTAATTGACTTCCATACTGTTCATTTGTACGCTCGAGCATTCTTGATATTTGGGAGATAGATTGTCAGCTTGGTTGTTTGAACTGGAATATAGATTTAAGATCGTATTCTTGGATCAACTTTGCTTTATTTCTTATTAGTGTTGTTGGTTTTCCAAAACTAGAGAGTTTTGCAACCGTGCGAAAGTCGAAACTAGTTTTGATTTTTGACTATTGACTTTTGACATATAACTTTTTAATTTTAGTTTTGATTTTCATCTCTTCAAAATAGTTTTGGCGACCAACAATATTTTTTATATAAATATATTCTATGATTGTATTTTTGTCGAGTAAAAAAATTAAGCGAATAAACATTTTATCACACGCATTACAAAATTGTAATTTTATCAGAACTGAGAGCACTCATCACTACCGAGTTAATCGCGTTAGCTTTATTTTTATGTAAGAATAAATCCTGTCGTGCATGAAAGAAAATACATTGTTTAAAAAATATAAGAATAATAATGTCAAAGCCACCAACCGCCATTGAGCAAAACACTAGTGGAATGGGATCACTTTGACCCATGTTGAGATAAGCATTTGTATTTTATTATTATGTGTTTATAATATTGTTTGTTTATTTTTAAGTTACAGAGTCATTTGAGATTTGACATTGAGATTCAAAGAAATAGTTACCCGGCCAGGTAATAAGAATAAAAAGAAAGCTTTTATTTACCATAAAGGGTTTTAGCTTATAGTAAAAGGTATCATCCACAAACAGTTATTTCACCTATGTTGTTAATTAAACACCTAAGAAACTTTTGTATATTAATTACAGAAACCTTTAATAGTAAACAGTAAATAAATGAAGAATAAAAAAAGAAAGCTTTTATTTACCTTATTTACCATACTCGGTTTCTGATGGTAATTAATATCATCCCACAAACAGTTTTTTCACCTATGTTGTTGTTAATTAAACACCTAAGAAACATTTGTATATTAATTACAGAAACCTTTAATAGTAAATAATAAATAAATGAAGAATAAAAAAAGAAAGCTTTTATTTACCTTATTTACCGTACAAGGTTTCGGACGGTAATAGGTATCCACAAACAGTTTGTTCACCTATGTTGTTGTTAATTAAACACCTAAGAAACTTTTGTATATTAATTACAGAAACCTTTAATAGTAAATAGTAAATAAATGAAGAATAAAAAAAGAAAGCTTTTATTTACCTTATTTACCATACTCGGTTTCGGATGGTAATTAGTATCTCATCCACAAACATTTTTTTCAGTTACCTTTCTCCAGTTGGAGGACTGTCTCTTTCATATAGTGATAGCGCCAGTAATTGGTGCTTTTATCTTCTAAGTAAAGCATGTCGAGAGTAAGATTTATTTTTTTATTTTTTTGCATACAGAAACATTTAACAAATAAAAGAAAGTTGATTATTAGAAAAATCAAATATAATTAGCAGATATTGCTATCAGAACAAATAAAATGACAAATAATAAATAAAAAGAAAGCTTTTATTTACCATGGTAATCTGTATCATCTACAAAAACAGTTGATTCACACCTGGTTGTTAAACACACCTAAGAAATTTTTTATATCTTGATTAAGAAGAAACCTTTAACAAATAAAAGAAAATTGGTTATTAGAATAATTAGCAGATATCGCTATCAGAACAAATAGAATGACCCAGAATAAACTTTTGTCAAGTCAAGTTCATTTACTCCTACACCTCACCTGTGTTGAATCAAACCACTTGGGGTATTAATTCTCTTTATTGTTTCAATAATAATAATAAATAAATGTCACTATGGGTACACCTAATTTCTTTTTTGATTTGTTCCTTGAATAATAATAATAATAATAAATAAATACCATTATGGGGGCACCCGTGAACTTAAGGCAATTAAGGCCTCGAAATCTTGAATAATCTTATACGACTTTCCTATACCTATGGTGTCAATTAATAAATAAAAGAAAGTTGGTTATTAGAAACAAATATAATTACTAGCAGATATTGCTATCGGAACAAATAGAATGACCCAGAATAACTTTTGTCAAGTCAAGTTCATTTACTCCTCTCTCCTACACCTCACCTGTGTTGTAACGAAATTCAATCAAGAAGCGCACCTGTGTTGAATAATAATACCACTTGGGGTATTAAATTCTGTTTATTGTTTTGTTCCTTGAATAATAATAATAATAATAAATAAATGTCATTATAGGGTGGACTAATTTCTTTTTTGATTTGTTCCTTGAATAATAATAATAATAATAATAAATAAATACCATTATAGGCACCTATGAAAAGCTCTCCCAAATCTTTATTTAAATAAAGAAACCTTGAATGATTCCTATACCTATGGTGGTGTTAATTAATAAATACAAGAAAGTTGGTTATTAGAAACAAATATAATTACTAGCTATCGGAATAAATTTTTTTGAATCTCAATGTAATGAATGACTCTGTGATCATTGGAAACTCATTTTTTTATGGGATAATTTTAAGACGAAAGAAAAATCACGTCTTAAATAAGTATTTTTTTTTGTTCCGATCAAATAAGGTCATATTAATATTGATTCTGAGATTTGCCATTTTGAAAAAAGCCACAATAAAACAATAATAAAATGGTTTTTGTATTGTAGTCCATCTCGAACAAACAAAATGACATAAATTGTTACTCTAAATTAAATATGGGTAGTTGATTCAAATTGCCTTTTATTGTAACAAAAACATAATAATAAAACGTAATGTGCTCCAAGAAATTTATTAGTGAATATTGATTTTTATAATAATAATAAAAATAAAAAAGAAATACTTATGATAATAACAGATCATTGTTGTGCGTGACTACACATTAACCTTCTTGTGGTTAAATAGCTTGGACGGTTTTTATCTCACGATCTTACATGATCCATGTGATCGTGATGTTTATCAATTAATTATTGGTTATTGAACTATCTTTTTCCTTCATGCCAAGATTATTTTGCAAGTTAATTTTGATAGTCTCCCAGCGTGTCACCCACAGTCAGGTGCTGAATAATTTTAAGTTTAATATTAAGGTTTTTCCATAGATGCGTGCATATAAACAAACCCTTACGTAACGTATAGATAGACACATAAAATGTTGATCTCCCATACATAGATACAATAATATTTTATTTCTCATGGTCACATGAAACATGTGGCAATTTCTCGACAATTTTGTGCCCGATTTTCAAGTGGGCGTTGCTTTTTTCTATCATAACTTACAATCTCATGCCTCAAAAAAGCCTCAATAATAGGATTTTGATTACTAGCTTCAATCTCGGTCAACAGGTTACGCTTTCGAGTTATGTGCCGATTTCATGCATCAAGTATTGGTGATTAAGGTAATTGTTGATCAAGAGAATTCTAATATGTGTCACCAATTATTATTGGGAGAGCGTGTTAATAATATAAATTTATGATTATGTGGATCAGAATGAGTTGGCTATTACTAACGAATTAGTTTTATTAGCGAATAATTTTGGTTTGGCGATTTAAGAAAACGTTTTATTTAGTCGAAACTAATTTATTGACTTATTTCCAAGTTAATTTTTATTATAAAACTAAGACAAAGTTTTTACAAGTACGAGCTTCTAATATACAATTAAATTAATTAGTATTCTAATCGCGATATCGCACTTTAATTGCAACGCGACATTCTAACCGCGACGCTAATTTCTAAACAAAGTTAACTAATTTCGACGTTCAAATAAAATAGTAAGAATGTAAATAAAAAATGAATAAAAATAAAATAAGAAATGAATAAATTAAAGGTAGATATAAAAATAAAGTAAAAATAGAAAAATAAAGGATTTGATTCGGAATTAGGTATTTCGACAAATAAATCGACATTAAATCCTAATTCTGGTAACATATGCTTGATGGAAATACATGCGTATATATATATATATATATATATATATATATCTTAGCTGGAAATTTTTGAATCATTTAGAATTCTTTGTGATGGATAACAATAAGTTTAAAAGTATGTTCATTCATGCTTAATGGCTTAAACACACATGAAGATTTAATCTCAATCACAAACTTGATAAATTCATGTTTATTCTATTTTTTTTTTTAAAAAAAATTTATAATTCAGAGAAGCCACATTTCAAACTAAATTATTATAAAGGAAATAAAGTTACTAAATACCAATATTGAAAATCGATCAAATTACGGATATTTCACAGCCACCACCACCCTTTTATATTTGGATGTTATCAAACAAGGGGAAATTTCCAAAAGGAGAAAAGGTGACTGTTGTGTGTGGCTCTTTGGAATAACTATTGTCATTCTTGTATTTGTTAATTTTATTGCTATTCCATATTGATATAATATCATATAACATCGAATCAATTAATACTTTTCCAGTTTAGCGATCTTTGTATTTGTATATTCACGTAATTGACTCGCTGTTCCATACTATCCATTTGTGCACGATCAAAAGCGTTCTTGGGGTATTTTCATTGGTTTATGGTATCTGGCGATAAGTGGATTTCAAATTCTAAAGATTGCCAGCTTAATTGTTTGACCTGGCATATTGATTGTACTCTTGGTCAACTTTACTTTGGGTAACAATATTTCTTATATTTCTATGCTTCTATCTTTGTTGTAGAGTAAAACAACTAAGCGAATAAACATTTCATCATGCACATCATGATCATAATTGGAACTGAGAGAGAGTAAAATTAGGTTAGTTTATTTTCTCTGCACGAACGATAAATGTCTATTATGCATGGAAGAAATTAAAAAATGAAAGAAGAATAATTTCAAAGTCACTAACCGCTCCTTGAACAAACACCAGGGTGGAATGGAATCAGACATGACAACAAGGGTTTATAGTAAGATTCATGTTGAGACAAGTGTTTGTATTTTTATTATTATGTGATAAGTATGTTCAATTTTTATTTTTAGGTCACAGAGTCAATTTGAGATTGATTTGACATTAAGATTCAAAAAAATAGTTTTCCCAGCTAGACAAATAAGAAAAAACAAAATTTTATTTACCAATACGAATGCATATACAATGTCGATCACATTTATAACATATCTTACAAGCTTCTTGGCTTCTACATCTCTTTCCGTCGCATGAGGAGGGATAATTACAGAGACCTTGAATAAAAAATAATAAATAAAAAAAAGTTGGTTAGATACAAATATAATTAGTAGCAAAGATTACTATCGGAACAAATTTTTTTGAATCTCAATGTAATGAATGACTCTGTGACCATTGGAAACTTACTCATTTTTATGAGATAATTTAAAGATGAAAGAAAAACCACGTCTTTAAATAAGTATTCTTTTTTTTCATTTAGTTAGCCGATCAAATAATAAAGTCATTGATGCTGAGATTTTCCGTGTTGAAAAAAAGCCATATTGAGTGGTTATAATGAAATTAAAGAAACAATAATAAATGTTTTTTGTATTGTAGTCTATCTATCTCTCTTTTGAAATGCATTCATTCTCAAATCATTGATTGTAGGAAAAATACGACAATGAGTATTATGATTATGTACATGCAATATTACATGCTTCTGCTTAGTTACCTTGCATTATCTATTAGATGGAAGGGATGAATTGTTTAGATGGATTAAAGGGCGTTGATTTCCTTTTATTGTAAAAGTCATTTACAAAAACGTTATCTTGGAATAAAAAATTGTGATACAGTTGCAAATCATAGGTCACAAGTTTATTTCTTGTACCAAAGTTGTGTTATCAATTTTACGTCAAAATAATAATTATAATAATAATTAAAAAATAAATATCAATGACAAACTCTAGATCTTCTCATCTTTTTTTATACACCATATAGTAAAGCTTCTGCTGTTGATGGACATAAATATCTACAGGAACTATTCTATCACATCTGTTAATAATAAACAATTCATCTATCAATAATCAATGACATTATTATTGTTATTAATTCAGACATTTATTATCTTGCAATTACCCTCTAACAGCACTATAAGAATAATGATAATATCCTCCTCCATTTGCGCATGAACCCATAGAAATCGCCTAATGAGGTTCAGGCATCCTTTTTTTTAGTTTAAAAAAAAAAGTAGCGATGATGATATTTCATTTGAATCATCAAATGGTTCAAGCACATCTTTCAATATATTTTCATTTAATGTAATATTGTCGTTGTAATGTTTGTATAATTATTGATAGAAAAATCATATTGGTATCATATTCAATTTGTTCTTTGGTCATGTTATAATTTATTAAAGACGAAAATCATTATCGTTATATTGAATTAATAGAAATTATATAAACAAATTTTCTTGGGAACATGCTTCAAACATACTTTGGTAATAATATAAATCGAACTATTATGGCGTAATTTATAAAGTATAATTGAAATCATGTTTGAAGTGCGTTTCGAGCGGATATTAAAAACGTTAAATCAAATTTGTCCTTTAACTCAATTCAATTATGCTCAACCGAGGTGAAATTAACATCCCTAATTGTGGTGTGTAATGTTTAAATATGCATTTCACGCTCTCTATATATAATGGACCATTTTGGATTACTATTACGAACAAATGTCCGTTATAGACAATAATGATTTATTATTATTATATATGGGACATATAAGTATATAAACTGGGCTTAACATTATAGAGCAAGATATTATTATTTAAAACAATTTTTTAATATCGCACAATTTGTCTTCTATAATTAATCCACCCAATCATATTTGTGTATTATGTTGATTATGTAAGAAGATTAAAAAGACAAATAAAAAATAATATTTATTAATGATTCCAATTATTAAAAAGTTTCAAAATGCCAAAAAAAGTACTTTATAAGGTTAATCATATTTTATTTGTTCTATTATTTTTATTTATTAATATGATGATAATAGATTGATAGATTGTTAGGTGTAGATTAATAGCAATGATGACAAAATCAAAAAAATTATAAGATTATCATAACTATAATTATATACAATATCAATAACATTTACAACAATAAAGAGAATCAAAATGGAAATGAAAATAAAAACGAAGATGAAGATGAAAAGGTTGATAGTGAAAATGAGGTTGTGTTGATAATAATAATGATGGTCTTGAAATTGAGAGAGAATTTTGGTGATGAAAATGATGTTGAACTTGGTAATGAAGATGATGATCATAGTTGAAATGAAATTTTTTGAGATTTCCAGGCTATGGCAAGATTTTTAGATTTAAAATGCACTTAATCAACACAGTTTAATCCACGGTGAAAAAAATCTAAAGTGTGAGTATCCAGGATCATTTTATCAACAAGGTGGTTTGCTAAATCACACAAAGCTCCATATTGAATATCCAGGATGTGCTAAAGCATATTATTTTAAAGCTAATTTACTATATCATAGATTATGCCATTCTGGAATAAAAAATTTCAAATGTGAGTATCCTGGATGTATTATCATCTTGGAATAAAAAATTTCAGGTGTGAATATCTAGGATGTACTAAAGCTTATTCTGATAAAGACACACTAATAATACACACAAATTCAAATATCATCTTACAAAAATTTCAAATGTGAATATCCAGGATGTATTCAAGACATTTTATCAAAAAATTGGATTTTAATTACATACAAAAAGAATTCATCTTGGAATAAATTATTTAAAGTGTGAATATCCTGGATGTACCAAAACATTTTATAGTAAAACTAGTTTAAGAATACATACAAATGTCATTTTGGAATAAAAAAATCATGAATGTAATATACTTGGATGTGACAAAGAATTTGTTACTAAACCTGAACTCAGCAGCCATCATTAAACATGATTTATAAGATTATTGTATAGATGATGATGACTAATGGTATGTGCAGATTAGTTTTCTATATAGTACTTGCTTCATATACATAATTATGTATTGATCAAATTATCAATAATATAAAAATGAAATCATGTAATTTTATTTTATTTATACATAAAGGAAAATAAAAATTATTATTATTTAGTTGTTATAGTCTTGATTTTTGTTTGCTAACTTATTTCAATAGTTAAAGTAAATTTTTCTATAATAATAAATACCACAATAAATTAATTCTTTTTTATTATCCTATAAACTTCAAATTCTTCTACCAAATGAATTTTATTTTTATTTCTAAAATTTAAATCATTTTTATAAGAGTCCTTGGAAGAACCATCATAATAATAAAAACAATAAGGATCATTGTTAATACTATTACATAGACGTAAATCATCAAAATTTATAGTCTTTTCATGAAATTTTATATTAGTTGCAGTTACATGGACCTTTTGTTCATTATGATATATTGCATATCTTGGATCTATAACTCTACTTAATATTGAATTATTTATCTGATTTTCATCAATTTTGAAAATAAAACTTTTATCTGTTTCAATCCAATATTCATCATCAGAAGACTTTTCTTTTATATTCCAACAAACTGGATTATAGCCACCAACCAATTCTCCTGTATCTTTAATTTTCATAATGGCTACAGTTTGTTCAATATTATAGCATTTATCCTCAAATACAGATCTAGAGAATCCATCTTGAGTACCTTGAAGAATTAATTTAAATTCATAAGGTACATTGTTTTTATTATATAGAACATTTTTGAGATCAATCCAATTTAAAATTAGAGATTTCACTTGTAAATTTAATAATTTTCCCATTCTTATTTTTGATCTTGGACCTTTTTGAAGTATAAATCTTGGTTGGTACCTATTAGTAAGCAGGTATTGGAGAATTTCTTCATATATTTCTTTATTAAAAACCTTTTTATAAGGTTTGATTTTATCATAAAAATCAATAGCAGAAATTTCATAAAATCTTATTAGTGGAATAATATCATGTAATACATTTTTTAACATGATAAAATCCTCCTTCATCCATTGTGAAATATCTTTATCTAATTTTTCATTTTGATTTTTTCCCCATTGAATGACAATATCCCAAATATCAATTTCATTCATTCTCAAATCATCTTTTTCTAACATAGTTATAAGCATGGATTTTTCAATTGTTCCAATGTTATTAGATTTAAAAAATAATCCTGGATTATTACTAATTATCTCACAACAATAATCTTGAAGCAAGTTGAATGTTTGGTGACATGATGAAATTTTATAAAAATAAATTAAATTCTGTTGAATCCATTCTTTTTCTTTGTTAATCAAATAGTTTTGTAAGTCATTGATTAATTCATTAAAATTTAATTCATCGCATGCTTCAAGAAGTTCAACAATTTCATTTGCATTCAGATTATCTATATTAGGAATCCCATTGTAAATATATCTACGGAATTATTATAATTATTCAATTTATTAATTAGACAATTAATTAAAAATTATAAAATTAAAAAAAATTAAAATAATCTTACGTTAAAAGAACCTCAAATACATTTGGTGAAATATTTTCTTTTTCAAATAAAATAATACCATCATCAGATTTTTTTATCCAGATATTTGATAAAGCAGCTTTAAAATACGAAGACCTTGCCTTTAAAATGCTAGAATGAGCTTTAAAAATTTTGGCATCCTCATCTACTCCAACTTTAATTTTCATGTCATAAAAATCTGATTCATTCAATAACTTTGTTAAATCATCTATAAGTTTACTAATGTATTTTAATGGTAGGGTATCATTTTTTGTATTAATTAAGTTGTTAAATAACAAGTTTAAATTTTCTAATGATGAAAAACGAGTTGACATTTTGTTGAATTTATAAATATATAAAAAATCGTAATACAAAGCAAAAATGAACAAGTTTTAGTAGAAGATATACAGTCGAAGCTTATTACAACGATCCCAAAATTTTGTTCACTGTAACGAAAACCTCTTCATATTATATAATTTAATTTAAATCATTAATCATAATGACATCAGTAAATTTTTTTTGACACAATTCTAAAATCATTTATATAGAAACTTGTATACAAATTTTTAGTATTACGTTTCTTTGGATTGATCCAGCCAGCTAAACAATCCATTGAAATTTCTTAAGCCAGATGACATCATGCTAAGATATTATTAATCACATAAATTATAATAACTAATTTAGAAATAAGGAAAAAAATTAGCCAATAATACTAATACGATCAACACCACGTGACTTACACTATTAAAAAATCTTCAATGTTCACATGAAAAGAGATTTTATTATGATGTTAACTGTAATGCAAAATTTATTATAGTGTGAGCTGGGACATGAAAAAAGTTCAATGTAAACCATTTCTACTGTAAACGAGATTTACTGTAATGAGTTTGGACTGTACAACAAGTATCGAATGCAACAAAGTTAGACAATAATTGGCTTTCAAAGTGATCTAGCACGTATTTTATATCAAATCCATATATTTAAAAATAGAAATATACAAAAATTGATAGTACAAGGAAAATTATTCCATCATATCAATCAATTCACCTATTATCATTATACTGACAATGATGCCGCATAAATTTTTTTAGATTAATTTATTCTTTTTTTTTTACCAAAAAAACATAGCAACCATTTTCTCGAACTTGAAAATTCAAACTTTAATTGAGTTGCCCAACTTAGAGCTTTCTATTTAAATAAGAATTTGTATTACAATAGAAATTCTCAATAATAATAATAATAGATTTTTTTGCGTTTCGCTTTAATTCTCCACAACTATCTGAGCAAATTTTATACAGTCTAACCTCATCCAACGAATTAAATTTGCGTTACAACGAACTTTTTAAAAACATAAAATTCATTGAAACGTGATTAGTGATTTTGTTAAATCAATTTTCTTATGATTCGTTGTAATGAGGTTTAGCTGTATGCATATATTTCAA